GGTGGAAAAGGTTGATTTCCACTTTTTCTTCCCAGAGCTTATTGTAAATGTATTCTCAGGACAACCATGGACACAATTGCCATCATTTCCAGCAGGAGCACCTGTTTCCTTTGAGTTAATAACTTGTAAAATGCATTAAGCTTGGCTATAAATTTCTGTTTGTTAGGAACAGTTTTTTCTTGTCATCATATTTAAAATCATACCTATTAAGTTTTAATGCTTTTCATACTGGTACAACTTTGAATAAAATATTTAATTTAGATACACAAGAATTGCCACAAAGAGATTTAGCCAAAAGACGTAATTGGTCATTTCAGGATTCAAAAGATAACAGTGAATTGGTTGAACAATGTATGGGTGTTGGTTATCATTCAAAAAACATTTATTAGGTATCTATTTTTGTCAACAACTCTGCTAGGAATTTAACAAATACAGATGAAAGTTAATCCCTGCCTCAGAAAGCTCAGTGTCAGAAAATCTACCCCACAGGAGTCTGTGGTAGGATGGAAAGAGGCCCAAAGGGCCACAGGAACACAAAGGAGGAGCTTTTAATCACATTCAGCTTGGAAGGCTTCCTGGAAGAAGCAGACCCTTAGCTAAGCAAGATAATTGAATGCTTATTAAATAAAATTAGAGCAAGGGGCATAAACATTCTAAGCACTAGGGCAAGTGTGTGCAAAGGCCTGCAGGAGTCAGAGGTCCTGGCTTATTCCAGTGTTTTGAGATGGGATAGCTCAGGAGGTGGCAGAGCGAGTTGGTGGACTTGGTATGCCATGTTAATAATTAGGATTTTTACTACAGGCAATAGGAAGACAATGAAGAATTTTAAGAATGGAGTAATAAGAGTTCATAGCAAGGAGAAAGGAAGGTCATAGATGCCGAAAACCAGATCTGGGGGAAACACTTCAGACTAGTCATTCATTTAACAATTAGTTAAAGATAGAACTTAAAAATCAGATAATAGTATAGAAGCTAGATAAGAAACATTTGTTTAAGTTGGCCAGCTTTAATGTGTATTTAACTTGGATGGCTTAACTTCATGTCTTTGAAGACATTACTTGGGTGACAAGTAGAGTAATTCATTACTTAAGTTATTTGTCAAAGTTTCCAGCAAAGCACTTGTGGCATTTCACTGTTAGAGATCAATAGTCCAGTTAAAGAATAACTGGTAGTAAAAATAATTGCTGGTAGAAATAACTTAGTAGGAACCCAAGTGACAAAGTGAAAATATAAATGTGTTAAGAGAAAGCAACCTGAATATAAATCACAAGGGGAGGCCTAGAACCAATTTTATTCATGAGTATACTTTTGTGAAATGTACTGGACAAGCACACCAAATAAATAATAATAATAATAAAAAGATTTTTAAAATATAACAAAAGCAGGAATTTGGCAATTTGTTAATTCTATCAACATCCTATTTCAGGGGCCAATAATGTGGAGTGAATCGATCAGGATCTGAAGAAGATGGGCAATTTAGCTAACTTGGACAAATAACATTGTTAATTTAGTATAAGCATGCAAATTGAATGAGTCTAGCTGTAAAGTATAATCATGTTAAATATGATATAATTAAACTGCAAGTTGATTGAAAGCAAAGTTTAATTATTTCAAGAAAAGAAATCATTGAAATTGAGACCTAATATAAACATGTTTTTACTGAATGTTACACTGCGTAACCAAAGATAATATACAGTAAATATCAAAGGTTCTTTTTGTTTAAATACTGCTCTACCTCCCAAGAAGGTTAAGCTCTAATAAATCTTTCAAACAAAAAATGGGGGAGGGGAGAAATCGCTCTAAAACCTAAACAAAGTCTTTAAAATTACACACAGTCAAGTTAACACCATTTCCAAGTGTAAGCAGATACTGCTTTCTCCGAGGAAGAGTTTACTATTAGGGGTATTTTCAAAAGCAAGACACTTGGAGTAAACAGCGAAACAAAGGAGAACTCTTTTATTCAAAGGCCTGTGCACATATGGAACCTGTTAAGGGGATGGTGGCTGTAGGAAGAACTACAAAGGAGTGAGAGACACCTAGGCTGCCTCGGGAAGGAGGGATGGAGGCGAGGGTGGCTACAGAGCAGAGAGCGGGCCAGAGATCAGTCAGATGGGAGGGAGGCAGGCTGTTGGGCAGATGGTCTTTTCTGTTCCAAAATGTTCAAAGTTAAGGGACACTCCTTACCACACTTTTATTTCATACAAAGAGGGAATTAAGAGGAAACCAAGAGCAGGTCAGAGTTTTTTCTGCAGTTACTTGTGTCATTTCTTTGCCAAGCTTTGCTTGTCTGTGTAACTCATTGTTGCCTTCTTCAGGCTGAGGCCCTCACTTGGTGCTCTCTCCCTAACCTTTAGTTTTCATTTAAAAATGTGAATTAATTAAGAACAAGGTTCCTGTTTACATTGTACAGTTATCAATGTTAGGTTATCTTCCTCTGAAAATTTCTGGGAAAGATCAATATTTTTCGACAAAGTGCAATGCTTGCTTATTTACCAAGGTTAGGTCCATTAAAAAATTAATGGACACAGACCAAAAAAAAAAAAAAAAAAGTGTAGTTGGCTTGCTTTGGCAGAGTGGGAAAATGACATCTGATGAGCCAAGCTCATCAGACTGGCACCTGGCAAGGAAGATAAATTCCCTAAGATATTTTACAGATCTTACATTGCTGCCAGATATAAGTCAATATTCAATCTCATTAACCAAGCTCACAGAACTTATAGGGCCTTATCCTGGACACCATGAGAAACAAAAAGCAAGCAAGAGAAACACTTCTTTGAAGAGCTGAACTGCTCATGGAGAGACTAGAATAAACATTTAGTAACCTGCAAAAATGGTAAGAATGAAAACAGACAAATCAATTTTATGTGACCAATGAGAGGCTGCACATAGTCTGGGACTCGGCCCAATCAGGTCAACACGTACGTAGCAAATAACAGGCTTTACACATACTCCACCTGGTCAGCTGCAGCTCTTCTAGGCTCTGGGTTGGCACATACAGCTAGACGATGTAGTGGCCTAATCTGCAGGGCACCAGTAAGTACCAACCTGAATGGCCACCTGAATTCTTGGCATTCTGACTTCTATAATAAAGTTGGGAACTCGCGGTTGGGAACCCACCTGCACTTTTCACTGGGCTATTTATAAAGGAAATTTTGTGAGAGGAAGACCTAATGGTGGGTACCCTAGAAACCCAGTTTATCCCACAGAGAGCAGTATGCATTCAACAAGAGAAAACACATTTAATGCCTAAATATATAACATACATTAAAAGAATTATGAAAATGTTTTAACTATCTGTAATATACAGGAAAAAGTCCTTTTAATTTTTATATTCACTTATAATTTAATAAAAACAAAAGTCTATATTCAATTAAAATTAATATATAAGGACTTGTGCATACCAACCACTATTAATCTGACTAAATCTATCCCTCTTAGGTACAACAGAAAGAAAACATTCAGATGCAAAAATTCCAGATACACCATCTAGGCAGGACAATTAGAAGAAAACAAGACTAATTGATCCAGAAGGTGTGGTTCATATATCTTACTAGGAGTATGTTTATGGACAATCTCCTTTCCCTATTATTTCTGAGTCCTGCGAAAGAACCTACTTATGAACTTGAATGGCAAACAGTGCCGATTAAACACAAGGAGTCATGACAAATAGAGGGCAAGCCAAGTTTTATTTCAGGGTTGGTAAAGGCAAAATGTAATAAGGATACTCTTTAAAGTGAAGTAAGCACCAGCCAGAAAAAGGTCTGTGGCTTTGGACACAGACCTGAGTTCAAATACTGGCCTCACCACTTACTAGCATTGTGACTCTGACCTCAGCCAACTGACTTTCCCTTTCTTTACCTGTAAAGCACTAATGCCTCCATTAAAGGTTACTGTGGGGCATACACAGATGCCAAGTGCTTAGGACAGAGACTGACACAGATGAATAAGGAATATGTCCACAAGAGCACCAAGAATCTTCCTGAACAGAGTAGAATTTCCAAAACCAGAGATTACTCTGGCATTTGTTCTAAGATGAACTTTACATTTTGCCAAACTCATTAAATCTAGATGAGTGGCAGGAAATGAATGAAATTTAAGCAGCTAAGTAATTCGCAGCTAAGTAATTCACAGCCAAAAAAGAGCTTAACAACTACTTTCAATTTTTCTTCTTGTTTATCTAATTTAGAACTTAATTTATAGTTACTGTCTAGCCCAGTGGATCCCAACTTTGTCTGCACTTTAGAATCACCTGGGGCACACTTAGAAAACATAGCTGCCAGAGGTTTTGCTGTAATGAGTTTGAGCTAAGGCCTAGGAACCAGTTAATTATACTCTCCTGGTGACTGTTGCAGCCAGGGCCTAGAACCACTCGTACAGCTAAACACAAGGAGTCATGACAAAATAGAGGGCACCTGAGCTATTTCTAAGAAACAGTTTCGCCAGTCCTCACTTAAGAACATTACTCCAGCCTACTCAAGGCTGTGGCCAGTATTACCAAATCGCTCCTTTCTTTATGAAGTAGAGAAAGCTAAAAACATATAATTAGTCAGCAGAGTTTGACTGGAAGGAAATTCGTAAGATCATAACTCAACAATCTTTTGTGAGATGAAAAAAAATGGGCATTTTTGCTTGAATAAAAACGAGCCATGCCTTATACAGGTATTTTTAAAAGGCTTTTTCTTTTACAGTTATTCCTTTCCTTTTCATGTTAAAGCTGAACAAAGCCAAGATAACCATCTGAAGGACAGACCTGAGGCAATCCTGATTATGTGGTTTCCCAGTTCAGTGAAAATCAGATACAGTTCTCTTTTAAAGAGAGCCCAGCAACTGGAGGACTGGTGGTTGGATGGACTCTCATGGAACTGTACTCTAATTCCCCTCTATTTCACTGAGTGACCCTGAGCAAGTCGCTTAACTGGTCTCCAGTCTAACGCATCCTCCGCACAACACCTCGACACACCAAGTTCCTAGGACTAGAATCATTTTCATCAGCAACTTACCAGTGTGCTGCCATCAGTCCAACGGAAGTCATGCTCAAACATCTTGTCATTGAGGCCTATCCACTGATAGTCATGGCCCACACCTGAAAGATGGCAAATAACACGGATATTTTTATTACCTCTCCAATATATGAATGAAATATATATTTAAAAAATTATTTTCAGAGTAAATCCTGCATCCTGTTTTCTGGCTGGATTTTTGTTTAGTTGCTCATAAAAATATTTCATGATCTAACTATCTTTTGTTCTTCTGCCCAATGTGCTTTAAACTAAAAAGCTAATTTGCAAACATCGTGAAACATTAAAATATCCTAGACAATTATTTTTCTAGCAGTTTACTACAATTTGAATATTTTTTTCATCCTTACTCATGATAGAAACTTTCAATTTACTTATTTTTTATTAAGTTATGCCATTGGCAAAAGTTCAGTGACCCAATAACATGTGACAGATCTTACCCATGCTGGCCTCACTTTGGAAGCGACATGTTTCTTCTCAAAGCGGTTTAAACAGTGAATACCTAGACCAGACAGTTCTGCAAAATTTCTTTAGAAAAATAATGGCTTTCACCATGAGTCACTGGCAAGCATACCATGCAAAAAAGTTAACTGAACTTCTACAAACTTCTAAAAGATAGAAGGCATCATGAGAACATATTTAATTGAGCATCAACCAATGCTTCATGAGCAAAAAAATTCTACATATTTGCCCTCCTCTTTGCTACAGTTTAAAGAGTTAGTAAACAGCTTTGGAGGTAAGTTTCATTAGCGTTGTCTCTGTCTACTCATGATCTTAATATGAAGTCCACTTTCCATGTCTAAAATAATTAGAAACTATTTGAGAACTAATTATGCACAGAGGATAGGATTAGAACTAATTAGCACAGAGGATAAGATTAGAGTGCTACCAGCAATTCACTTTGAATTACCGGGGCAAAAAAAACTGAAAACAATTTTCTCTTTAACTTTAGACAACATATGCATGTACTCAAAATAGACACCAGGAAGGTAACCATCAGAAGAATTACATTGAACGATAAGAGGGAGCCATTATTGTAAGGCAAAAACTGGTCAAGTAGCAATTTTCCATGATTCAATCTACAGCGGGCTGTTCCAGCTCTTATTGCTGGCAGGCCAAGAAAGGCCCTCCTGGGTTACAGCGGACTGTTTCCCAAGGCGGGGCACGCATACGGCAGAGGTGACTTCAAGTAGCTTGAAGATGAAGGATCTAAAAAGTTGAACCACGACCGAGGAAGCTGCTTTGTTTTTAGTCGGGCAGAGAGGAAGCTAAGCAGGGGCGAGAATGAATAAGCTTCGGGAAAGGGTGCGCGGGGGGGTACGTACGGTTCACGAACATCTGCTCCTCGTGGGACAGGATGCTCGTGAGGTGGGCGCCCTGCAGGCGGCACTCCCGCTCCGCCGCGTCCCACGTGCGCCGATGGGCGAAGTACTTGTAGCACTGCCCTTGGAATTTGTGCCAGCCGTAGTCGCATGTCTCCGTGTCTGGGAACAAATAAGGCAGAGGCTTATTAAACTCACCTTGGTCACTTAAACTTGGCTCACCGACCGCGTGCTAACACGAGACCCAAGGCAGTGTCAGGGCAGCATCCCTGAAGTAGCAGGTTCATAAAATTTGGTCCTGATGACAAAGAAAGGATGACAAGGAGAGCCCAGCTGATCCCTGCCCGGCAGGTCCTCGAATAAGGTCTTGGCATTCTGGTCAACTTCGTTTTGTTAAGTTGATGAGGTGCTGTGGGAACTTAAGGCTCGTTTATATCAGTTAGCCTGTGGACAGACGCAGGCCTGCGACACCAAACTGAAATAGAGACCTCATTCCACTTCAAGTGCCAGAGCCGTGGAGGGCGGTAAGTGAGAGCTTCCACATGTCTTTGGACTGAGCCAGCGTCGCACTGCAGCTTCCTGATCCGAGCCAGCTTCTGTGGGAGAGGCCTGCAGGAGAGGCCGGCCAAACCCCTCTGGCTGCAGCGTCTGCTGCTTGCTCGGGAAGCCGCTGGGGCTAATTCCTCACCAATGAAACTTTTCTAAAGGGCTAATAGGATTTTGAATGCTTGCATAAGGACTTCAAAGGCTTGAAGCAGTCCTTTCTCACTTGCCAGAGAGAGAGCTGGTGGCCAGTCACTGGCCAGGTAAGTTTACGAAGAGACAAAATCTTCATCAGTAGGCACCTTCTGAGCTACAGCTAAGGCCGGACGCCTTCTGCCCAGAGGAGCAGGAGTATGGCTAACTGCAAGTGCCGATGCATCCGGATTTTAACTTTATTAAGAATGAAAAAACGTAAGTTCTTTAACTTCATTCCCAGGGTTCCACCAAGCCGCGTGTGTGCATGTGTGTGTGCATATATGTGTATGTATGTGTGTGTATATATCCATATACACATACATATATATCTAAATTATACATCTAAATTATACACTGGCAGTGAGCTTCAGCTATACTTTCTGATGTGTTTTCACAGGAAAGAAGCCCTGCTCATAGCATTGCATTCTCAGTGGCACTCTTCCCTCAGACTCACCCACTCACAAGTGAGATTAAACCCCGTATTTAACAATAATTGATGGAAATAATTTTTATTTCCACAAACAATTCTCACAAATATATTTAACTGATTACATGTAAAAACTGTAAAGTTCACAGTATTTTAAGCACCAAGAAAACTTTCCAGAATACCTAATTCCTGTTCCTCCTGTAATTTTACTGATCAATGAGGAAAACAAAAGTCAACTACATGAAATAAATGCTTCTTTTATGTATCAGACTTGGTGGCCAAATTGAAAGCCAGATCACCTCCTCTTTCTACAATTGTGGGAAAGCCTGCAGCCTGAGAGATTAAAGTTATTTTTCCCTGGCTTCAGTGATTTAGGCCATAACCATACGACAGATGCAACTTATCTCTGAGAACAGTCTTTATTTCAGTTTAGTCTATCTGGCCTGTTGTTTAGTTACAGCCAGCTGACTAATTGGTTTAAATCATATGCACTGGAAGCTTTGAGTTTTATTAAAGTGCTGTTTGGAGACCACCAAATCTCATGGGAAAGGACACAAGACACAGCTAGATGACTTGGTATAAAAGTAGCACTCAGTGCCTAAGAATGAAGCATATTTTGGTTACTTGGATACAGTAATTTTCCTTTTGGGGAGTTCCCATAGAAGAACTCAGAGCTGAGCTACAAGGGGTGGGGAAGAAACTGATCTTCATATATGAGGGGGTTAGCTTACATGGGAGGAGAACTGGAAAAATTTTTAGAACACTCCCACTGCCAAAGTCAATAATATGATATTATAATAGCACAGCATTCCTTAGCCTTGGAAATTATCATTTATTTTTAAACACACAGTTTAAAATTCCAGAGGGTCCCTTATTTATTGAATAATACATCACAAAACATTCTTCCATATGCTTTCTAATCTTCTATTAACCCAAATGGTTTTAGTCTGGTTTTATATTTTATCATTAAAATAGGTTATCATTATTTTTCCTTTTATACAAGAAATCACACGTTCATAAAATGTAGATGCGTGAGTACGTCGTTGCCGCAGTGCTCTTCTCAGAGAGCAGGTGCACATATGCCTGTCAGAACATGCCTCCAAAAAGTAGGGGCGGAGTTTCTGTTGAAACTAAACAGGGACAGCGTATTTATCTGCACTACACAAACCATAGCTTCCCAATGATTATAAACATATGTGCAAGTACCACTTAACAAAGTGACTTTTTTAAAAAGCCAAATATCCACACTGATTCATGTAATTTTTATTATTCATGAATTCAATAAATGTGTAAGGAATGACTACTTGTCAAGCAGCATCTCCTAGGGTGTTCTTCTGAAAAGAGGTATCAGAAGCAGTCTGTCTATCCCATCTTACCTAAAAATAATGTAATACACATTTCACTTATTAAAAGGCAACTCTTCTGGATGATACCATCTTAAAATTCATCTGACACGGAAATATTTCTTACACGTTAGAACTCCTACAATGCCTAGGTTGCATTACAAATCCCAGGTTTCGTTTTGCCCGTGCATGTTGGGGGTGGCTGGGGGAGGGTACAACTCCTGCTTATGACCTCAGAAGATGAGTCTATCACTCTTAAACACTCTCACAAAAAATCAATTCACTTTATGATATGCAGGCAATGTTTTCAACACCTCTGACATATAGCTGTCAAGTCTTAAGAAATTGTCAACACTTGGGCACTTCTCACTGGCAAGCTGTCATTGACTCTGGCTGGGGGCCATCTGTGTGTACAGAACTGTCTCTCCACTGTTCTCAGCCCCCTTTTAGATCTTAAGTCTGCTATCATCTCACCAAAATGTAGCCCCCTATTCCAGAGTTACTGGGAGTTGGGATGTTACTAATGCAGAGAATAGGTCAGCTGAAAAAACAAAGACACAGTCATCACTGAAATTTGGACAGAAAACTGTTTAGACAACAATGCTGCTGTTAATGAAGAAAACATTTGTTCTTAGGCAACCTGCTAAGAGCAGAAAAAAATCTTTCTGAGTCCTGGCAATAAATCACAGGAGCACAGCTGCATCTGGTAAACAGACCAGGATGGCTGTTTCTCAGCATCCTGTGGATGAAAGTTAAACTCTCTGTGAGGGAATAAAGAATGTACCTGAAGGTTAGGTGGCACCAGAAATGAGGGGGAAAAACCAAAACGTTTTCTTTCTGATATCCCTTTAAAGAGATGGAAAAGGTATAACTGGCCCAAAGTCCCTCCCAAGGATGTGTGACCACTGAATCCACCAGGTACACACATAAATAAAAGGCTTATCTGTGAGAGTGACCTAGAAGGGTAAAAATATTGAGAAAAACCTAGGCTTGAAAAGGCAGCTTAAGTTCATTTTCCCCACTCTCTAATTTACTAGCTGCGTGAGCTGGAACACATCCTTGTTCCTCTCTGAACCTCAGTTTCTGACCCATTTACTCATAGAAATGCTGTGCCAACCAAATGAAATGATGTACCTGGGAGCATTTGATAAACTATAAAGTAACCTACAAATAGTATCTCTTTTTATTCTCTGCCAAGAATTATGCTGAGTCACCAAGATCAAGGCTGGGTCTGTGTTGTACAGAGCTCTATCTCCAGGGCCCAGAACAGTGCCTGGAAAATAGTAGGTGCTCAATAAACACCTGTCAAAAAAAGTGACTTTTTTTATTGCTCCTTATACTTGGAATTAAGGGGAGCAAGAATCATTTAAACATATTCTAATAACTCAAGTGTATCATCCTTTGTTTTCTTCAACAAACACCATTTTTCTATTTTCCTTCTTAAGGAAATTGCTGTCCATGTTCATATCTACCTTTTAAAATTCTAAAACAAACAGATTCATCCTAACCAATAAAGAGAAAGAAAAAACACACACACCTAAAATCTCAGCCATCAGCCATTCTCTTCAATTGGCAATTTAATACAGGCTCCTTTTAGTTTTGCTTTTAATTGCGGTGACGTCTGGATTAGCTCTGAAAAGCAGAATGTAGGGCCAGACCCGTGTGTCTGAGTATCTAATACATTTTCATTCTGTCTGGTGGAATGGAAGTTTGGCACTAGGCACTTTGGTCAAAGCCAAGTCACTGTATGACTTTAAGTGGAGGAAATGGATGTTCCAAAGCTTAGTGTGCTGAGCATGCAATCTGTTTCTGATTGATGGCCTAAGAAACATTACCCTTAACCACCTAACATACACTCTCAGGTTGGCCATAAAGTGCAAATTACAGGGATCAGGAGATTTAAGCCATCATGAACATAGGCCTTTCTTTCATTCAGAAAAAGTAAATGCTTCTTCAGCAGGAAAATTCCCTGTCGAGCAGATTCACAATATCTTTTACGTAGCATTCGCCAAGCCCAAGGTAATGTATTCTAACAACTCTATAAACTCATTCTCCAGAGATGATCAACTATGAAAAATAAGCCCCTTGAGTCTCAAGTGCTTAGGGGGAGAAAAGAAAGGCAACTAACACTGAATTCAACACTCGTCGATACTAACCACGTACATGGGTTAAGGTCTATTCCTAATTTGTCTTCAGAAAGAATACATATGACAATGTTCCTTTTGTTGGCTAGAGGCCTTACATTTGCTCCATGTACCTATCTGCAAAGGCATTCTATCAGCAAAATAGAAATGATCAAGTCAACACTATTTTTCAGATGTGAACTATGGACTTGTAAGGAAACCTAATGTACTGAGGTAACCTGTGGTTTCCCTCTGCAGGAAAGAATATGCACTGTGGCCAAAATTACTAAAAACATCCGAACCATCATTACAAAAGGCTTATCTAGAAGTAATATTCAAAATGAAGTTTTCCATAAAGTTCATCATACAAATGTTGCAATAGCTCTTACCTTGCTCACAAAGTGCACCGACATAGCTGGGGAGACAGAGGCAGCTGAATGTATTAAAACCGTCAACACACGTGGCTCCGTTGCGACAGGGGTTAGAGTGACAATCATCAAAATCTGCAATAAAATCATAAAAGGCAACAAAAGTACTTTCAAAAACAGTCAAAGGGTTCTATTTAGTGTAAGGTTGCTAGATAAAATACAAGATAGCCAGTTAAATTTTAATTTCAGGTTTAAAAGAAAAAAAAATTCGTATGAATATGTGCCATGTTATATTTAGGACATAAAGTAAAAAATTATTCTTTTTTTACTCTAAAATTCATATTTAACTGGCATTCCTGTATTTTTATTTGCTAAATATCTGGCGACCCTAAGACAATTTAAAAGATATTAAAGGAGGGTCATTGTGTCCATTTCCTTTAGATGAGTCACACGAGCCCTCAAATGGATAACGTTTTAATCTAGCCTACCTACCCTCAATCCTGGTTCATGCTCTGATTACCTCACCCCTGGGATACTGAAAATACCTAACAGGCCTCTCAACCCCTGGGCCCTTCCTTTTCCAATATATTCTTCACTATGCTGATTGCCACCTTCTTGGGGCACAGTCATGATAATTTTACTCATTGGTTGGCTACCAAACATTCCATAGATCCCAGCTGCCCAGGACAGTTGTCCTCATTGTGTAGCCCCTGGACCAGCAGCAGCAGCAGCAGCATGTGAGAATGGTAGAAATTGCACATTCCCAGGTTCACTCCAGATCTACTGAATCAGATACTGGGAGTGGGGTAACAAAAATTTGTAGTTTGCCAGGCCCTCCAGGCGACTCTAATGCACACTAAAGTCTCAGAATCACTCAACTAGAGTATGAAGTACAACTATTTAGTGCATGGATTCAGGACCTCCTCAGACCTATATAGATGCAACCTGCTTTCTGGTACTCTCTCCCAATATGTTTCTCTCCCACAAACCCATAAATATACATACCCAAATACTTGCAATCCCCCAGATGCATTCTGCAGTTTGTGGTCTCTGTGCTTTTGTTTGGGGTCCGAGTCCCCCACCACCACCAATCAAAATCCTCCCTACCTCTTGGATCTGTATGAAATGCAACCTTCCTACAAAGACTTCCATGATCTCCTCTGATGAAATGAATGACTTCATTCCCATAACATTTTGCAATTCCACTAAAATTTTAATTAATGTTTATATTAAATAAAAGGAATATTTTTAAATGAATATACAATATAAAATAAATTTCCAAGAAGTATGTAATGATTCTTACCTAAAGAAATGGTCTTAGTAATGATGACATCATATAGTAATGATCCCAAATACCTTTATGGTGCTTACTAAGTGCCAGCCATTGTTCTAAGAGCTTCACGTATATTCACTCATTAAATTACTTTGAATTGACTTTAATGTAAAACGAATGAGGGCCAGATAGATGCTCTTATACAGATATATGGTGTTTAATATGTAATTATTTCTTAAATATTATCTATTGCTATATCTATATCCCTTCCACTTAGCACACAGACAGAGCTTACTAACTCTGTTGGCTTTTTTTTTTTAAAGACAAGCACTCTTTTAATATGAATGTTGGGGATTTTACACCAATATTTCTGTGGGCCTTCTTTCCACAATCGTTATGAGAAAAGCATCCTGGTACCTCTAAAAGAAACACCTGGCCAATATTATATTCCATCAATTCTTTCATCAGAGACGAGGGCTATATGTAGCCAAATTAAAAATGGGGTCTTTTTTGTGTGAAGTAAAGGAAACCTAAATAAAAATGGGAATAAAAGGAACTGATTTAGTAAAGACACAATTATATTCTTTGGAACTTGAAAGAGAGGAGGCAGCCAGCAATCTCACACCTCCTGGAGGTGAAGGTGTGTAGACGGGCTGCTGAGGACAGCCAGGGAAGGCACTTTCCCATTTCACACAGAAGAGCAAGCTATCTCAAAATGTAAAAGCTAAACTCCCTAGTTTTAAAATGTAGCTTTGTAAAAATCTGTTATATTTAAATTGATTATTTATTGATATGCAGATTTGAGGGATAGATTAAAATCTTTGTTAATATTTATGCAACTTTACATTTGTAGAAAGCTTATATGTAAAACCCACAAAAAGACATAGCTGACCTCAGTAAGTAAGCTTCACTGAGTCAGGTATATTAACAGAATTCGTAACCATATGTCCCCATTTCCCAGAGTTTACTTAAATTACTCTATGATTTTAACTTCATTGAATATGTAATTCATCTAGAAATAGGTTTCTCTGAAACCCTCTGATTGATTTGAGCAATATAAATTCTCCCCCATTGCATCTTTTGGAAAAGCACTACCTTATTTCAGGCAAGGACATCTTACCAAGTTCACACTGGTCACCGCTGAAGCCCGGCACACAGGTACATACATAGGAAGTTTCGGTAGAATAGCAGGTGCCTCCATTGAGGCACGGGTTCGTTTTGCAACGATCAGGTCCTATCATGTTCAGGAAAGGAAGAAAAGCGATTAGGCCCATCTCTAACTTTCAATGTATTTTAGCATAAAATGCCACTTATTGCTACCATGATATAAATAAGCTTTACCATAGCAATTTAGCGATACTCCACATAAAAATTAACATTAACTTTACTCTCTGGAGTGTTTCTTGGCATTATAACTAAGTATTACAAATTGCATCTATCATTTCTGGGATTCAATCATCATTATTTCTCAACAATATTTTGGTACATTATCTGACAGCTAATATATTCTACTGCAGATTTAGTTGGCATGATAATGGCAATTGATTTTAGTCAAAAATGATTACACATATGTGCACGGAATGGAAATGTATTCTTTTAAACGAGGTTAGTTCATGTGAAATGGCTGGGTACACAGAACATGCATTCTTTTTAGCAGATTGCTTGTTACCATCGTTTGGATTATTATTGCCTTTTACCACTTAATGCTCAGAAACTGTTTTTCTTCGAAAGTGTGCACTGAAGTCTCTTCTGCTACATTAATATGCTTTTTCCAAAAACACGTTCCAAATGTACTCCTTCAAACTATACTTGAAGAAAAGCAACACATGGATTAAACTCTACTGTATAAAAACAAAACCCAAACACAAAAACCTCACCTAACATGAAACCCCCAATTTTTATTACAGTTTTCCCCATTAAAACACAAATAAAATCAACACGCCTAGCAGATAAAATATAAAGGCTAGAGACACAGATTTATAAGGAGAAATAGTTTAAAATATATTCCCTAAATGCAAATACTTTAACACTATGTGAAGCACATATATTATTCTGTAACAACTCTTGGATAATTGTTTTTACATTAATAGCTTATGTTTATTATTTGAATGTTTTTCTAGAATTGCTTGTTTCAAAATGTTCAAGAATCCAAATCACAGTTTAAAGTTTTACAAAATAATTGTGATAAGTAGGTTATATGTGGGCTACAACCTATTTTCGAGAATCTTAAGACCCAAAACCCTAAAATAATTGCACATGAAAAGAAGCCATCTTCCAATGAAACATGAACTTAAGGATAACGGAAAAGGAGGCAGTGCTGTAGAAGGTAACAGTGTTTTCACACAGCAAAGTCACACTCAGACTTTCTGAGTGCTGAGTAAATTCTGAACTACTGCAAAGGCTTCCCAGATTCCTGTTGGCATGTGTGGGTTCCACATTAGGTTACTTAGGCTAATTCAGATGCTTATGCCTACTTCTTCAAAAACGACCCCAACTCTTCTAAGACTTTCTCGTATAGTCCTAAAAAATATGTAAAACCTCCCTAGAATTTTAGCCTGCTGCCTTTCACAGTGCTCTGCCTAGATGACAAGGTCACAGCCGGCAGCACTCTACATGCCGCTCTCCGTGCAAAATCAACATGACACGAGAAAGCGTTTGGTAAAACCGGTGTGCCACACGAGTGTGATGTACTAGTATCGTTCCCTCCACAGACACCAGACACCACGCTGAGAGTACGGGGCAAGGGCTCGGCAAGAAAGGGGGTCTTTCTGTGAACATAAAGTAGCTGAGATTAGAAGAAAAATTTTACTTTTATGATTTTTATTCTTTCCTACACAGTTGGAATTAATCTCTGAAAGCTGAACCTGCAACAGCTAGTCCAGGCAATGCAATACGAGTGGCCGGTTACTGAATTAACCTAAAGAGACGACCTGTTTTGCAATGAAGACGCAAGATCTAATTCTAGGTAAACACTGTGGACTGGATGACTGGTGCACATTTCTTATTCATTTGTCAAACTTAATTCTCTCTCAATATATAGTTATTACCAATGATTCCTATATCATATTTTCACCAACCTGAAGTATATTATAACTAAATTACAAAAGGATAAATATTGGCCAGATTATTTGGTTATCATTTACAGGATAAATATATAGTGATGACAAAAAAGTTCATCAACCACCTTTGATAAATTTTATTCATTCATAAAACACTTCAAGTCATTTATAAAAAGTTCCACTTTATGGCTATTTTACTCTATCTGAAGCACAGCAAACTGAAGTGGCACCAAAGATACTATTGAAATGATCAGAAGAATAATTCTAAGTATAGTCATGCAGTAAAGCATATTCATTAAAATAAAGCTTATTTTCAACCAACACAGCCCTTGAAGTACTGATTTCTTTTTCTTATTCTAGGTCGTAGCTAGGTGGTGATGGTTACTTGTGGATTCCACTGACAGTGTTATTTAAGTAATGTTTCAGAAAATACCATTGCAGCAGACTTCTCAACATTATCAGGCTAGAGAAAAAGAAAAATAAATTCTACAAAGTAAATAGTCCAAGATTTCTGGTTTACATATCATTAACTATCAATTACCCACTTTTATACAATATTAATAGGAAACCAGCAAAGAGCAGTGAAAAGACCATGAACTTTGGAATGGGGCTGATCTGGGTTCAAATCCCAATTTTTCCATGGTGTGTGTGGCTGTGCAGCCCTGAGAAAATTACAGACCCTCTCTTATGAATGGGGAGAGCAGTATGTGCTGTATAGCCTTTTCATGAAGATCAAATGAGACAGTCTACATGAACCAGTATCAAATTCACGCTTTCTGTTCATTCGGTAAAAAGAAAAACAGAAATCCTCTCTGAACACAAAGAGGGCAAATAAATACTAAATGAATGCCCACTACGGCTAGGCACTGTGTTAGAAGCATTGTGTAGACTACCTGGACCAAGGAAACTGAATAAAAGTATGAACGGATAACTGATATTGCACAAACTATGTGGAATGTTTATTAGAGTTATTTACTACTATCAAAATTTAAAGGCCTGACACATTTTGATATTGCCATAATAACACTTATCAGTGAGAGATTTTTAAGAATGGATTTTTTTCTGGGTTTAAAACCAAGAGGTGTAGACTATGGTACATATGACAAAACAATATTTTAGTTGTAAAACAAAAATAAATTTTTACACCAGGAACATTTTCAATTTTCCATGGTACAATTATGCATTGTTTCTAAAACCCAGAAAAATACAAAGAACATCTATAAAGCTCGGAAATGATCCATACTTACTCTCTTTGCATCTCTTTATGGACTCAATACTATGGCCTAAACTACTGCTATGTGAGCAAAATAGAAATCTCCACTTGTTTAACATCATAATAAAAAATTGTATACATATATATGTTAGGACCAAGGGACTGTTTCCAAGTTTGGAAACAGATTTATCAATGTCGTGACCTTACCTGGTAAATAGACTGCTGTGCCTTCCACTGACTCTTCATTCATGTCAATCAGGAAACTGGTTTCCTTAGGAGTTTCCAGAAGGAAAGGTGGTGATGTTGGAAGTGGAATATTTAACTCTGCAGCGCTCACTGTTGTCTGATTATTGGAATCAAGAATTCTCGCTGAGGCTTCCTGATCTGATGGTGCCACTGTGGAGTCCTGCCCTCTGACAGAAGCTGCTTGTGTTTCAGAGTTTATTTCCAGAGAGGAAACAGTGGGCTTCTCGGAAGTCTGGGGGCTGGGCTGAGGCACCACACCCGCCCCAGCCCCATCGGTCGCAGAAGCAGACGGAGAGTGTGGCCACAGTGCAGCACCTTCTGCCCTAATTCCACCTGCAGCCGTGACAGCGGCTCCAGCCTCAGGCGTTCTCATACTAGAAAATACTTGGACTGTTTCTCCAGAGAGCTGAACACTGGTTTTGTTTGGGGAATCTTGGAGAATCTCAGTTCCTTTTTCAGCAATTAGTTCTGTTGGAGAAGTTTCCATTTGTTCTAATAAGTTAGGATTCGTTTTATCTTCTGAAGGTTCTGGTTCTGTGTCAGGAGCTAAGGAGGAAGGCCCAGTGGTGTGAAAGTACTCTTCACTTGATGGTTTGAAAGTCACTTCAATATTTGCAAACCTTCCTGGGGACATTTGAGACGTGCCGGCACCTACACCAGGCAGAGCACTCGGCTGGGGGCTCTCTGTGTGCTCAGCGGCTCCACTGCCTAAGTGAACAGTGAGCGGAGATGATGTCTCAGAGGACAACCTTGCAAAGGCCCGGACTGCTGATGTGTCAGTGTAGTCGGGGGGATGAGATCCTCCCATCACACTAGGTGCTTCTGTTAAACTCTGAGCCGTAAGGTGGACAGTACCAATACTTACGTGGGGTGTAGAATCGATTAGTGCCTCCCCGGCCCCTGAAGAGAATTCTGGCTGCAAAGAAGGACCCACATATTTCTTTTCTTCATACTCTTCCTGTGTCCTTTCAAAATGGCCCAACGTTGACACTACTTCACTTTGGTCTGCAATAGCCTGACCATCGGACAAAGTGCTTGATTCAAAGATGTCTTCCAGGGCTTTTGCTTCAGTTTTTGGTTCTTCGCTGTTTGGATGAACTGTGGCAGACTTACTAGGAATGGGCAGGGATGTTGCTGTGGGAAGTAAAATATCTAATTTTGTTTCTGTGCTTGGGATGGGGATCCCAGTTGTGAAGATAAAGCCCACGTGATCAAATTGGCTTCTGTCTTCAGAAGCCATGGATTCATTATGTGCTGCCTGAGTGTAGCCAGGCAGAAGAGTACCTCCAGAACCTTCAAAGTGTTCCTCAGTTAAGGAAAGGTTAACAGCTGCCTCATACTTCTCTTGAATTTGAGTACTGTCTTCGTTATTGCCATGTGATCCTGATGGTGTCTCTGGATCGATGTCTGTTTGCATTCCAAGGATGTCTTCATACATGGGTTTAGTGTGATCAATATCTATGATAGTATTTTTATCTGATGTCAGCTCAGGTAGAATTTCAAGGATGGTACTCTCTGTAATTGTTAATAACAAATCCTTGTCCTCTTTGTCCAGATCTATTATAATATTTTCAGTGGCTTTTTTTCTGTCAGGTTTTAAGGTGGAATCCTCAAATCCCCTGAAATCATCGTGGAAACTATCTGCACCTTCTGTGGACCTCTTATATGACACTGTATTAGACAGTGTGCTAGTTGGATCTGGGGAGCTTTCATTCTGCTCTAAATGAAGAGGTAGGTCCACTGTAACTGTTGGGAATCCATCAATAGTAATGGTTTTAGCACTTGGAACCTCAGGATGTTTTTCCAGGGATGTATTAGAAACAAATGTGGTGCTTCCTTTTCTGGTTGCCTGAGTAGTTCCAGAAGTATAGACTATATCAACTATATCCAGTTCCCCAGATCCTTCTCCAGAATGTTCATAAAACAAGTCAGATGATTTTGGTGCTGATGTAACAGATCCTTTGGCCATTTCAAGACCATGAGTTCTAGCCAAAAAGCCAGTGGAAGAGGTTGCTGTCTCCCTAGTTTCTGCTACTGAAGAACCCTTGTCAGAGACTTGGTCAGTAGTAGGTTGTGGTCGACTACTCTGAATTTCTTCTTCCCAACTGTGAGTCTGAACTTGAGGATGTTCAGAGTCCGTGGAGAAAGTGAGAGGTGCCATAAAGGGTCCTTCTGTCCTGGTGTCACTTAAAATTTCTAGTAAGTTTGTGCTGGATGCTGTCTCACTACCTTCTGTTTTAGAAGTGAGTGGTCTAACTTCATTTGTTGCATTTTCCATTCCCTCATAGTCTTCAGTGGTATCGCTTGAGACGCTGGTTTCTAAACTTTCCACATGAGCAGTCTGGGGATATAATGTGCTAACAACTTGTTCCATTTCAGTAAAATTCACTGATACTGTAGTAGGCAAAACTTCTTCTCCTGATCCCAGGCCAGAGAATAAATCAGTATCTGGCTCTTTAATTATTGGCTTCATAACCTTGGGAAAGGGTTTTATATTTTCTTCCCCTTTGATTGATGAATCTGTAACGACACTTTCAGCTAGTATAGGTTCAGTCACTGAGGCAGTAGCCAAGAAAAAATGGGACTTTTCAGTAACTTCAGGGAGAGTAGTGTAGGGTTCCAAACCCTTTGCTCCTGGACCTGGAGTAGGCCTGTCAACTAAGGAAACACCTTCTGCCTCCATTTCCTCATCAGTGCCATACATTTTCTTTGTTGCCAGTGTAGAATAATCTGTGGTTCGAAATCCAGTTTCAATAAATGTCTGTGAATCAAAAACTGCTTGCTCTGGTGCAACGGAGCTTTGGGGGAATTCAAAAGAGTTTTGTTCTTGAATCTCTTCCTCTGATGCTGTTTTGCTCTCAATTTCTTGTCTTACAGGATTGACTCCTTGCCTGGACCACAACTGGGTTGGCTCCATTGTCTGGGGAAAGTCCATCGAAACCGTGCCATCAACCTTCACTTTCCCCCTTTCTGTTAGAGCTTCAGGACCTTCAGCTTCTGCTCTTGGTAAACTGGTGGGTCTCTTACCAGCTTGTTTGGTAGTACCTTCTCCCAATACCTGGTCAATAAATGGAGATTCTGTACCAAGAACATTTCCCACAGCACTGGGAAACACTTGGTCAATTGAGCTGCTGACTGAGACCACTTGCTCACCTGAGCCCTCAGCTGAGGCTGTGAACTCTTCCCAAGGGAAGGCTGAAGTGCTGACCAAGGTGCCACCAGGTCCTTCTGAGTCCGCTATGTGATTAATGTGACCTGAAGTAGGTATTGCTGACGGTGACATTTGGGTATCTTTAAATGCTGCATCCCCAGAGCTTTCCAGCATTACTATTTCTTCTTTGGTTACAAAATTAGATACTGTCGAGTATTCTCTTAAGTCGCCACTGAAATCTTCCTCCAAAGGAAAATCTGTAGAGAAGCCCTTTATGTCTGCCCCGTGAATTGGCTCTCCTAAAACCTCTGATACAAGGTTTTCCTTGGATGTTTGGCTTATAACTTCAGTAAACTCTCTTGCAGTACTCAAACCTAGTCCTGTCGGCTCAAAAGGGAATATAGCTTCCACATCGGGAGACAAAGTGCCAGCTGTTTCCTTTTTAATTTGAATTTCAGGCTCTACTTTTAATGAAAAGAAGGAAACAGTGGTGGTTTCTGGGTCAGCAGCAGCTTCTCTAGAGCCCTGTTCCATAAAGACAGGGACGGGGCTACCCGGGATAGTGGACAGTCCTTCCTGAACCCCAGGCTGACTGCCACTGCTGGGCTCAGCAGTCTGTGCCCCCCAATTGTCTAAAACACTTGTTTCTGGAAAGACAAGGTTAGAACTTGTCATTGCCCTTTCAGACTGTATGGGTGTTGTCAAGGACACCACACTGTTCCTGGTAGCAGATACCCAATCGCTAGATGTAGCTTCATTTGAGTTTTCTAACTCAGAGGGTAAAATTAATTGATCTGCTCTCTGTGTGGGCAAATGTAGCTGGACTGTGGAAGCTGTACCTGCAGTTCCCTCCTCTGCATCCTTCCTTTGCTTTCCCGCCAGAGATGTACTGAAAACCCACTCAGAAGTGTCTGGGTCCCTTACAAATTTGGTGGGCACTACCTCTGTGGAAGGCTGTTCAGACACCAAGTAAACGGCAGTTGCAGGAACATCAAAAAGGTTGTCTGTGATCACTATCTTGCCAGAGTCTAAAGTAACCAGTGCGCCCGTAGTATTTCTCTGGGATAGATCAGTTACCACGGGGAACATTTTCTCTTTGTCGTCTTCTGCTCCCCCGGATCCTTCTGGTATCAGAACCGAAGGACTCCCCGAGAGCTCTACAGTTTGTCCAGGGGTCATTTCCACCCAGTTTTCCACAGTGGCCAATGGGTCAGCAGGCCTGGGGTTCCCTGTTAAGGTGACTGACACTTCCTCCAAAGCATCTGCAGACCCAGAACTTGGAACTGCACTTGGAGTATGTGTGAGAGAAGCACCCCTTTCTGCCTCCTGGCCGAACGTGACTTCTGTAGACCTTGAAAAGATTGCTTCTGGGGGTTCTTGGGCCACGGCAGCATCTCCCGAAGACTCTTCTGGAAACGGAGGTACAAGCTCAGTGTGCTCAGGCACCAGGTCCCCGAGGTCGGGCCCCTGCTCCGTGGCCGACTCCGGTCCCTCCGTGGCTGCTCCCTCAGGCGACGGGGCCGTGGGGAACACGTCGGGCTCGCCACTGGAAAAGTGGTCTGGCGTGTCGGGGTGCGTGCCGGGCTTCCATGTCACCTCGAGCGATTCAGTTGTTTCTTTAGGTTCACTGGGTTGCACAGCAGGAGAGGACTCCGTTTCGGACATGAGAAACTGGTGAGTCTCGCTTTCGCTGCTGTCGGAAAAATTCTGAGAAGGTGCCACACTTTCAAACTGGCCACGCCTGGCTTCTGCCGCCTCCGGGTCCCTGGGCGCGGGGGTGACGAGGTGCTTCCCGTTTATGTACTGCACGGAGGGCGTGGTGGTGGCGTCGGTGGCGTTTGCGCAGCCCTCGTCGCCCTCGTCTTCCTCCTCGCTGTGGTATATGTCTATGTCAATTAACTCGGGGAAAATGGAAGCGATTAGGTCGTGCTCTGAATCTGTTTCTTCACTACAAGGCTCATCTTCTTTAGATTCTGAATCTATTGGATGACCAATCACACTCAAATCACTCATTCGACCTGAAAAAAACAAAGAGTTTTCACAATACTTAAATAAAACGTTTGACAGTGTATGACAGAAGAAACTGCCGGCAAGGCTGGCAGATCACACTCGCACACAAGGAGGGGCTCCAACCTGTCACATTAAGTACAGCCACCCTCCTACACACGGTTCTCAGTCTTCAGATTGCTGTTGTATAGTGACAATGGGAAAAATAAATCCGAATACAACATGATAGAAACAGGGCATGAAGACTCTTTAACATGTTTAACAAAGCTGCGTCCGTAACAGGAAACAAGAAAGCACATATATACATTGTCATCGTGACACGTGGGAATGCATCTTCGTGCGAACTGGGGAACAGATGAAAAATTAAGATCATTTCACCAAATTATACAGAAAAAGTGATCGATTGTTGACCCCCGCTATTCAATAAGGCAATGAGAAGAGATTCTCGCTGGCCTCCTGTCACGATTTGTCCTAAAGAAGACTGTTTTCTGCAAAGCGGAGGAGAGGCTTCTTTCCGGCCCACCCACGGTGCAGTGGCAACCCCTCCCCAAAGCAGGTGCGACGAGACGTAGCTGCGGAAACTGCAGCCACCTCCGGGGCACGGGCCGGGCGCCTCGCATGGGCCTCCGCGCTTCCACAGCGGCTCGCCGAAGGCACCAGAAAGGAAGAGGCCCCCACACTTTTGCACCTTTACCCTGCGTGACAGATGACCTGGACCGGGTCTATTATAGCTCTTTTTAAAACATTGCCTCCAAAGGAAGTTTTAGAGTCATCTAAACACTTGAACTAGCATACTTTAAATAACAGATATCCTTAGAACGTTCCCTAGGTCATGACTTGCCATAGGGTGCAAGCTACGAAGCACAGTTGACTTCTCTGCCTCCAGAAATACACCAGCAAAGCCCCCTGTCTGGGCGCCAGGAGGGAGGAAATTCTGGGCGTCGCTCTGATCAGAGTGGAACTCTAAGGGTCCCGCCTCTACCGGTGCCCGATTCCTGGCATCACGGCCATGTGAAAAGGTGCCTGTGGGGCACTGACCCACGAGGAAGACAAAGTAAAGCACGGAGGGTTGCACAGTCTCGCTTTCCAGCCCCCAGAAATGCGGGCGCAAAAGTAGCTCCAGCCTCGCCCCGACCCAGGCCACAGGTGCTCAGGCTGAACCTGAGAAGCTTACAGAAGGAAAGATTATGACGGCGCCACGCCTGCCCCCGTGGGTAGGGAGATCGTTCCTGTTGGAAGGATCTACTCCTTTCCATGTTTGAAGATCAACATCTAGAATTTACTGAGAGTCAGAAAAGGCCCTACGGAGAAGGATCAGTATTGCTTGTATTCTTTATGCATCAACACAAACACAGACATGGATGAACTATCAATAAAAACTCTACAAAGCTCCTTCTATGTCTTTAACTATGGTTTCTTAACAAAACAACAAAAAGCACAAGACCTTTATGTAGCTAGAGGACATATACTATATTTACATTTACCCCCTTCATGCTAATAAAAGCAGAAAGGAATGCTTCTTTGTATCCCATCTTTACTGCATTATCTCCATAAAATACTATTCATGCAGGGATGGCTTCCTCTTATCCCAATTACATGTCCTTCCTTATTAACTTTCACACATTACCGTTCATTCTTATATCTCAATCCCATTCCACACCATACATCCAGCCTTTCAACTATGTCAAAAAGGCTCATGGCTATTCAAATGAATGAAAAAAATATTTCAACCATAAGAGAAGCGAGGTCAATCCATCACTCTAGACTATCATAAAATATAAAATGAATACAGGTGACTTCTGCCATAGGTGTTGCAAGTACTCTTAATTGCCAAACAGGAAAATGACTAAATGCCTTACCTTTTTTCAAACAACATAATTAAATAAGTTCATTCAATTTTAGATCACTAAAGTTGTTACAGTGATCTTATAGTACCTCATGTTGTATATGTTTCTAAAGAGGACACCATAAAATTTTCAAATAACACTTTTAATATGGCTTACAGTAAAGCCTACTTTTTCACTATGAAAAAAAGAGTGAGAGAATAGATATGCACGTGCATATATATGTGTGAAAGCAAATAAATTTAAATGCCCTTTGTACAAATAAATCTCTTGAAATATCATATCAATAATTCTATTTAGTCACCAAATTAAGTAGTCTCTCACTGCTAATACTATTTGAATATAGTTGAGGTAAGCCAGGTTTGGTTAAACTATTCTATACTTTATAGGATTTAACTGGAGCTTCAAAAATGTGCCTATCTAAATGTCTATACACTTGTTTTACCTTCAACCCTTTTCATTAGGAACAAATAAAACCAGAATTCATATTAAGAAGTATCACACACGCAGACACTAAATGCACACAGTATCTTTCATTTAAATACAGAAAGAATTTTAAATAAGAAATGTGGATCCGTGTCACGAATGAAAAGAATCACCACCACATTTTGTACCATTTTATAAATAAAGGAGATAAAACTAACCATTCAGCCAAGATTCTCCAGCCAAACACAAGGATCAATAAGGAAATAACTGTTCAATGTTGTTTATTTATAAACTCTTAGGCCAGGGATAGGGTAAAAACCGCTCGTTGTTATTATAGAATTTGTATGGGTTTCTAAATACATTTCTTAGTTTTAAAAATAATATTTAAAAAACAAAACTGATATAAATATATCCCATGAACTTCTTAGTGAATGATTATAGAGGGAGGTCCCATCAAGTATGATGTTGGTAGCTTTAAAAATAAGTAGAGTAGAGAAAAGCAGAGAGAGAAGATGCTAAGGTTGCCAGTGTGTCAAATGTCAACTTGTCAAAGAAATTGGCACATATGATATTCACCTAAATGCTTTACAAAAGAATGAAAAGCTTAAAAACAAAATGTTTTTCTAGAAGAACTATAACTGAGAACAAGCAATTATATAATAATTTCACTGGCTATCAATTCTTATTAATTCAATTAAATAAAGACCCTGGCATTCACTTTACATTCTCTAATTTTAGTTCCAATGAACAAAGTATAACATTCTTTGAGTCTATTTTCCACTTGGATAATAAATTCTAACACTTCTTGTTACTCATAAATCTATGAAGATTTCCCTTAGCACATTAAACCATCATGTCAGAATATTTCACCAAAGACTCAACTGTTAGGTGCACCACATTCCATTTCCTAACCTAAATAAATACCACAATATTTCTACCACAGCAATATAAACATAGCAGAGAGATGACCTTTGCAGAGTCTCCATAAACACAGCTCAGCTTCATACTGGTTTTGCACACAACATTTAATTCACTACCACAACCATGCATGCCACCCAATTGTAATATGTTTCAGGAGCCAGTTGATTGCACAAAATTTACTGAGCACCTATTATGTACCGGGTGGTACAGCAGACACTTGCCTACCAACTTTATAGACACCTAAGACTTCCAAAGCATCTCCCAAGTATCTTCTGACTCCCTCCCTTCCTCCCTCTACTCTCTCAGAAACAAATGCTCTTGCCAATAGGTTAGAGAAAGGAACTTATTAAACTCTTTTCATCCTATTTTTAAAAGTTTTTGTCAATTTCCAAACGGTTTCATTGGATTTCTTAATACTGGTTTGAGGGTGAGGGAAATGTTAATTGCCTAGGGCTTTGAAGTTAATTTTTTCTGCCAACAGGATTCTCTCCAGATCAATTTACATTTTATTCTCTCAGTTTGGCCAATTAGTTTTCATACTTCTTTTAAATTTTTGTGGGGGTATGGTGGTATGAAATCTGTCGAGACAGGTAGATTCTTTCTTTCCACTGGACTCCTGTCACCTGCCACCTTATACCTAACCCCTATTCCTATTAGCTCTCCTTTGGTTAGTCAGTTTCTGAAATTTCTTTATGCCCCTTTCTTATCACCACCACCCCACCCAGTGCATGTGTTTTCAGAAAGCTGTGAGAGCTATAATTATTGCAAACTATTAAAGTTTCTTTGTAGGGTGTGGCAGGGGAAGGGGGCACCTGTGCTATTGTAAAAGCAGATATCTCATTCCAAAATCAGAATCTGCTCTACTTTGTACTAACAGTGCACCCTGATGGAGTTATTAACATTCCCACCTCTCGGATGAACAAGCCCTTATAAAAGGCTGCTCTATTTTAGAATTGTATTCTAAGGGTAATATAACTTTTATTTGGATTTCAAGAGTTAAACCACAGAACTCTGCACAGTGTATGTATAATCTTTTCTATGTTTATATGAGTGTACTTTAACAGCTTGACTTGAATATACTAGTACCACGGTTAATAGATATTTTTAGTGGCCTTTCACACAGAGCTTTATTGCTAGCTGACCTCAAGATAGTTATTCACCAAGTATTTTTAAGTACTTCATGGCAGAGTTTTGTAGATGTAGCACAAGTCCCCCAGTCATACTGTTAGCAGACACAAAACATAGTTGCTAAGATGCATGGGCAGCTGGCTAAAGTTCATGTTTTCAGGGAATTTTACAATTTAAGTTTAAGAGCTTTCGATTAAATGTAAGCATATAGCAATCTACTCAGCAGAAATATATTAGTATCACATTTCTTTATTAAAATGGATTTTATTTTAATGAGCAACAGAAAATATTTTGTTTCCTTATTTTAAAAGTACAATAGACAGCCATACTAAAGTGTGGAGAAACATGCATAGCATTTAAATAGAAAACGCTTGAAGTTCTTTAAAATGTTTAAGTTTTCTGACACATACCTACAGATCCAAAAACCAGTCAGAAAGAAATGCTTCCATTTCATTCATCTTTGATATGTTCTTAATTAAAATGAAAAGCTAACTGGTTTCATACGAAGCAAAGAAAACCACCTAATGTGAATTTCAACCAGATTATTTCAGACATTCTAAATTCCTCAACGTTTTCAAAATTTGAGACACTAAAAATGGTGCCAACTCAGGATATTTAAAAAAATTGACATTAGTAATCGAGATATAAACATTCTCCCAAAACCTTGTCAGATATTTTTGCATCCTTAATTA